TTTTTTTTTTTTTTTATTTAAATCTTATATATTTTTAAATTTGTATATAACACAATTTTAAACCGTTTTTAATTATTTTATATCAAATTTTTTAATAAGTAATTTGTATGTTAAATAAATATTTTTTTTAATCAAGGAATTGAAAAATGCCCATTATTAATTAATTATTATGTTTTAAATGTTTTTATGATAAATACCACCCTAAAAGCTGCAAACTTATTGTAAAACAGTAAATTGTACATTTTAACTTATTGTATAACAGTCGTTATAAATTCTTATTGGAAATATATTTTTTGTGCATGAGAAATTTTAATTTAATTAATAATAAATGAGCAATTTTAAATTCCTTGATTAAAAAAAATATTTATTTAACATACAAATTACTTATTAAAAAATTTGATGTAAAATAATTAAAAACGGTTTAAAATTGTGTTATATACAAATTTAAAAATATATAAGATTTAAATAAAAAAAAAAAAAAAATTATTCAGGGAATCGAACCTGCAATCCCGAGCGTAGTAGTCTACGTCTTACCGACGCTACGCTACTAGCTCGAAGATTGCTTTTCCGTAACGGTACTATAGGGACAAAAATTTTTCTCGAAATATTAAAAAAAATATTTCTCGAGAATGCCTCAATAGTGGGTCCTACGGCTTTACAGGAGTAAATGTATGAGTGCATACTACACACCCATAAAATTTTATTCAAATCGGTGATCAGAGACTGCCGGGTTCCCCTTGTGAGAGCTCTGGTGTCTGTACAGACGGGCGGATTTGCTGCGGCGGAATTATTATCTATCTCATTCACGTTACAGATCTCAGTCACGGCTAGCAGATCTGTCTGTCTGTACAGGCTACCGGTGTTTCTCTGCCGTTGTGACAAAGTCAGCTATCTATTCGCATCCCTACTTATAATATACTTTGCGACGAATTTCTCGCGATACTGTTGATTCGCCAGCAAATTTCCGCCGGCTCTCGACACGCGGTCCTCAAAACGCGAAAAGTTGGGCGCCAGGTGCGGAAACGGCCGCACCACCGCACAAAGAAAAATCCCGAAAGAACACCGATCCTATCGGAACCCGCCGATAGGCTAAGCGCGTCAGGAGTCGTACGGGACCGGTAGCTCGGAGACGGGATGGGTTCGTTGAAGCTGGGAAATGACAGCAATTAATCGCGGAGTCGAGTCTCGGTGTATTAGACAAATTTTATTAGGACGGGTTTCCCCGCCCTGAGATCGACCGCGGTACACAAAGTTGGAAGCGACGCTACGCGGAGTCGCGTGCCGTCCGCATCGATATGCGAGTCGGCAGAGGACCTAGGGCCGGTCATTAAGTCTCGAGAATTCGCGGCCGCTCTACGGACAAGACGATATCACAAAACCGATAACTAGAGCAGATAGGAGGTCTTACAAAGTCGCTGACTCGCCCTTCGGTGTGATTGCGGTGTTTCGTCGATCCGGGGGGGGGGTGTC